CTAACCTAACCTAACCTAACCTAGCCGCTTTACAATCGACGCGCGTGCCTCGAAGGTTTACTTGGAAATGTTTCCAGGTCTGTCTCGCGCACAAAATGTCAGATTATGGGGCGTTGCGTGATAGCTAATTTAATGGTCCCCAGCGGTGGGCCTCTGATGTTTACATTAATTACAAGGGCAAACGGGAAAAGATGCGAATTTGCGCGTACGCCATGTCACTTTTTAGATTTGTTGTCAGAATTTTCAGAGAGCGTTTTCGGTTCAGTCACTTTTACCTTGAGCGTCGAACAGGTACAGAAGCCACCAGGTTGTGAATAGGCGCCTCGTCTTCGGGAAGTTCTTTGGCTGATTCGTTTTCTCGTGGGACGAAGACATCGCGACATCAGCTTCGTTTCACCATTACGTAGACCATAATTCTATCCCGCTGTCGATGTCGAAAGAGAAGTGACGCAGATGACTCCTAGCGGCCTGGTGTTAGTATTCCGATGGTGGTAGCATTGTCTTCGGATTGCATTCCAAGGTCGCATACTCCAGTGTTAACTTGAAGACTTTTCCTCACTTACGCTAAGGACTTATCTCTGATCACTTCATATACAGATATGTCACTTAACACAGAGTTGAGTTACTTCATCGAAGTTCATAGAAACATTTCGATTCATTTACCCGTGAATTGTGACTGCCTAACGCTTACTGGTCTTCTAATGTTGTTAGTCGATGGAATCGCCCATCGGATTGAAGTGGGGAGAGACGTGTGCAAAGAAAATGCAACTTTGAACCTGTAACAGACATAAGGCACCTTAGAGTAGCGTCAGGGTAGCCGTCCCTTAGCCTCTGCACTGCGCATGCGCTGAGCCGATTACGCGGAATTTATGCCTGGTTTTTGAAATTGTTTCGTTTTTCGACGTTTCGTAGGACCCCCATGGACGATGATGGGTCGGCTCATCGCATGGCCCGTGCCTCCGCAGAACGAGAGACGACGGAAAGAACCACGAACTCAGTTTTGAAACGGCCAGGATAAAATCTTTATCTGTCTCGTAATACTTTGAAGGAGCTAACTTATTGTAGTGTCATCTGACGGGGGGGAAAATTGGAAATGTACGGACAATAGCATAAGTCGAGAGCAAATTACGTTTTGTGATATGATGGATGCATTTAATGCGATCGTCCTAAAACACGTGATACAATTCCCAGATGATTTAATCCACGTCAATGATTAAAACGAAATTATCTCGGACTGTGAGACGAATTTAACTTTCTTTGTCTACGAGAGGAAAGTGTATCAATACGCCTATGATTTAATTACGCTGAAAATGTGCAAAATATCACAACGAATATGGCGGTACAACACATCACTTTGAAATCACTGTTTATGAAAAAAGAGAAACAAACAAACAAAGAGCTTAACTGGACTGACACTTGTTTGACGCAAAAAAAATCTGAGGACGGTCTATTTGTAATAGACTGACGCAGACATATCTCAGGACAGTCTATTTGTAATAGACTGACGCAGACAGCACTAGAACACAGACTGAAGATCAAATGTTACAGGACGTAGAAAAACAGTTGAAAGTAAGCGCTGCGTGTGTGTTAGTTCGTCTATGAAAATTCCTGCATCAAAGAAAGCGAAAACGAAATGTATTTTTTAACGCTTGTGAGTCCCCCCACCCCCACCCCCACTTAACCCTTCCCCTATGCACTTTCTCCCCCACTCTGCTCGGAGCCGTCTCGATTCACCAGTGGAGCGGACATCTTAACAAATTAACGTGAACAGTCGACTCTTCATCTCCGAGCTCCTGGTGCGTTATTTGTGATTATCAGAACGGTGTTTCCCAACCGGTGGTCCGCGGACCGCCGCTGCCGGACTGGGGCCTGATGTCTTTCACTGCGCTTGCGCAAAGCTTCATTCCAGAATGTGTCAGTCGGCATTGAGGCTCGCGTCGAGTGTGTACGCAAACAGAAATGGCGAACGAAGGAAACGTCGGAGACTGCGAACCCCTGGACCAGCTGCGATTTCATCATCTTTTGGATAAGGGGCGGCGGCTTCATCTCGAATGAGGCGGGGTCTTTTAGTCTGGGTTCATGTTTAATGGCGAACTGCAGGCCGCGTCGTCATACAGCGGATTTAAATTATTCTACATCACGCGAAGATGTTACGGCGGCGTAGAAGGTTTCTTATTATATTTGTGTTTCCGCTAGAATAATGTTTAACCTTTTTAAATTCGTGTAATTTTAAGCGGTTTTCTAGGCGACTTCTCACCCCACCCCATGCCCCATATAAAACGTCTCGCTCGCCTTGACCTGATCGTGCTAATCTCGTCCGGTGAAGAATGGATTTTTCAAAAGTTAATTTAATTACATTTGTTTATTTTCGAACTTAAATGCAACCACCTTGACACACATTGGTCACACAACATTCGAACATGTCATTTATTTATAGACAAGCCTTTGTTCTGCAGCACACAAAGACGTCGCCTTTCTAAGATAGAAAGTGAAATTGAACCACTAATAATAGGCTTTCTATTACAGCCTGTGCGCCAAAGTGACATCGCACAAAAACTGAACTCGCAAAATTATAATATTTAGGGTCGCTTCATTTGTCCGAGAGCCAGGCGACTTACGCTCTTCGAACATTTGCGCGCTCGTTCGTTTACAACCGATAACTGCAGTTAACGACCGGTCACAAAAGTGAATGTGAAATATTTGTTCACGTCGTAGCCCGGCGTCTCGTGACTTACGAGACCTTCGCTCTGCTTGTGACGTTAGAACGAAGATGTGGGCAGGACAAGGAAGGCGAAGTGGAGTCCAGAGATTACTTACTGGCTATGAGAATCTAGTAGTGGCGCAGCTGCTCACGAAAGTGTCCTTCTCGTGCACTCCCTGTCTGTTTAAGATCCGCTTTAATAATATTCTCCCATCAGCTCCTCAACATGACTTTGCTTCGGCTGTTTGTTGGGTGTCCATCACCAGGGCCGTAGTTCGCAAAGAAATCTAAGCGGTTCATAGATTCTGCTGTCAGTTTTCGTAGTTGACTCAAAAGCAAATTGCTAACCAATCGTGTGACCATATCTCCTGCTGGGTCTTTAAGTTGTTACAAAAATGTGCCTTTTTAATTAGAAGGGTTGTTTAAGTTGAACGGGACCGCCGTTACACCTCCGTGCATTACGCGTTCAATTCGGGAACACCAAGAAATGTCTTCCGGAGCGGTAAGGAAGGCGAGCAGTCGTGGTAGCCATGGTAACCGAGCGGTTTTCGAACAGAATCTCGGACAGACCCACACGCACTCTCTTCGTGGAAAGATTTTTATTTGTGTGGGCTGCCATGCAGTGAGGTTTTCTCGCGGCATTGTGCTTTAAAACGTTTTATGGAGGTATTCTTATGTTAGTTTAATTTGGAATGGCGCGCCATCAGCCATAGACCATGCAGATTTTGCCTGTTCCGTCAAATGGACTCTGTTCATTTGCTGATTTCGTAAGAGCTTTAGTCTCCGTGATCAGAAACGAACTGTGGAACTGTTTTCAGCATTGACGTCACGAGATTCAACCCCAAAATTAGGCTGGAAGAACGAGAAGTTTTGTCTAATTCCGTAAGCGTTCTTACGCCACATCACGGCTTGTGACGTCAACGAGACCAACAAATGTACCCTCTTAAAAGACAAAACAAGTTGCAGCCACGTTGCTAAATGCCGGGTTGCAGAGACGAATGATGTTGTCGCCTGCGTCGATTCCTCCACAGCGAGACGTTAGTTTTATCCGGTTCGTAACTTACGGCGACTTCAATGGACTTTTCTTCCTTCGGGGAGAATGAAGACGGGTGTACATTAGAGACATTATCTACGAGTATGTGTACAGAATGTCTCAAAAACGAGCATACACTTTCAAGAATCCACTTTTTCCGCCGTTCATCGGCTGAATGAAGATGAGGGCACGCCCACACTATCGTCGTCATTACAGGGCCCACCGACCGACGGATACGAGGCAGAGGATCTGTTGAGTACCCGTTCCCCCCTCAACACGATCTCCAGATTTAACCGCAGCCGAGTTCTTCTCGTGGTTTTACTTGAAGGACGCGGTGTAGAGCGACACTTCAAGAGCTCCTGGAAGAATTTGAACGGTCTTGGGCAGGCGTCCCGGCAGCGACTTCGGTGGCCGCCACACTAGAGTCCCTTCGTACCGACTGCCAATGATTCAGTTCGTGAAAATGCATTTATTTCAGTCATTGAATGTGTGTATAATTTTTTTGGAACACTCTGTACAGGCAAATACATAAATGTGACACGAGGCCCTAAATAATGTGCATTTGTTCGATTACGTAAATGAACTGACAGTTGCAGGTTTTAATAAAACGAGGAAAATGACGGGCCGACATTTTCGAAATGTCTGTTGTCGTCCGGTTCGAAAGTGGATGATGTCGCCCCGTCGTCTGTCCGCGCACTGAAGCACTTTTGGTGTTGTGGTGTACACGTGTGCAGTGAGGACGGCCAACAGGAAATGTGATGGCGGAACTTCCTGCAAACGCGCACTTACAAGACCAAGAGGTGGAAGCTGGAGCTTGGACAGGAAGATTGTGAAGGCGAAAGGTGAATGAGACCGGTTCGGGTTTTTATGGAACGCGATTTTTCGCGTTGTTAAGGAATTGAGTCTGTGGGCGTGTCCTCGGCCGAAAATATTTGATCGGTTGAAAGGATTTTTAGCCAATCCTGTTCTTATTTTTCAATGTTATTCAGATGCATTTTTCGTATTTTGTAAATCTTTCGTTTATTCGTAGGCGCGAGTCGAGGGTTCAGCTCTGGCTGCAGGAGAAGACCGTGTGAAATGTCGTAGAATCAGATTTGAGAGAAATCTAACACACAATGAATTGTAATTCTTAAGTTTCCTTGTTTATTGCATTAGATTCTGTGGCCGTGTGAAGTCGGATTACGTACAGATTTCTGGACGTGCGAAAGGCAATTTATTACAATGAAACAAAGGGTTTTATTAATTTAGCCTGTGAAATTGAAATGGAAGGCAAGTAGAAACGCGTTCTGTGAATATATAAAACGCGCCTGCCTTCGCGCTGTTTCACTTCTGAACCGTTCAGTTAGGAATGAGGAAGACAGTGCCCTGTGCCGCGTTGTTCCTCTGAAGACGCACCAAATGTCCTGCCTCCGGTGGGCCCGTGCGGAGTGCCGGACACTTTGATTTGTGTCGGCGAGGTCTCTGTGCTGGGGATCAGCCCGGCACAGGTACCCTTGTTTGTGCTCGTATCGGCGACCGCTGAATGTCGCGTCGTCACGCGTCGTTCGAGTCGGTGGCAGGAGACCGTTCGGAACTTGGAAAGAGGACAAGTCGGGTTTCCAGACGTCAGGCGGTGGTGGGCCAGCTGGGTCGGAGGTTACGGGCGGCGTGAACAGACACGAGGCTCGGCTGCTTTCACTGCGTTGTTTGCCTTCGCCCGCACTTGTGCCCCCTGCTCGTTGCTAACCTCGCGAGGCTGTTCACATTCACAGGCTTTCCATTCCACTTCGCGTTTCAGCCTCCAATGTTTCGCCTCTTAATTTACATCCACGTCGGTCGTAAACGCGTTTGCAACTCTCACTTGCACGGAGTCTGTTTTTTTTTACAATTCCAGTGGCTGATTCGGTTCTGTGACGTAAAACCAATTCCTTCTGCAAATTCTGCTTCAGAGCGAGATCTCAGGTTCTCACGGAAACGGGCATGGAGGTAACTATACCCTGTGCAGTGTAGTCCAGTTGAAACTGGCCGACGTTTCAGAGGTTCCCACTACCTCCATCATTTTCATCGCCCTGTTGATGGAGGCAGTGAGCACCTTTGAAACTTAGGTCAATTTATACGAGACCATGGCGCGATGGTACGAATAAATGCAAACGAATCTACGACGGGCTTTGGGGGGGGGGGGGGGGGGGGCTAGGCTACCATTCATTTCAGAAGGTTCGGTTTCTGTAATAAGAGACTAGACCATTTCTTTATCCATGTTATTTAACAGGGGGGATGTTCAATTATTTCGTACTTTTAATGCGATTTGTGAGGCTAATGCTGTCAGAAACTGTATTTATGTTGAACACAGAAAGTTTTATTCCCGTTATGTTTGGCGGGTCATAGGGTAGTTATTTTATTTTCGAAGGAACTGTTCTTTTTAAGGCGTTTTTACGCAGTTTCATGGCTCGGTCACTCTGAGGGTGGCCATGAATGACATCACGACCTACGTACGAGGCGTAGGCGCGTGAGGCAAGGTCAAAGCCGGCCTCAGCTGCTGAATGCGCACGACATTTTTCCCTCGACTGAGTTCGCAGGAGATCCCAGCCATTGCCCTCGACAGCAAAGCACCGGCTTCGAATGAAAGTGACAACGAAACGCGTGGCGTGCAGAAGGAAAGCCGCAGATGGCAAAGCACCGGAGCCTAGGACCCGGAGGTTGAAATTTGCTGCAAGAGCTTTCGTTCGGTCATGCTCTTTCAGTTAAATGCACTAA